TGATGAACACAGATGCGAAAATTCTCACCAAAATACTAGCCAATAGGATTCAACAGTACATTAAAAGGATTATTCACCACGACCGAGTGGGATTTATTCCAGGGCTGCAAGGTTGGTTCAACATCCGCAAATCAATCAGTGTGATACAACACATTAATAAAAGAAAGAACAAGAACCATATGATACTCTCCATAGATGCTGAAAAAGCATTTGACAAAGTACAGCATCCCTTCCTGATCAAAACTCTTCAAAGTGTAGGGATAGAGGGCACATACCTCAATATTATCAAAGCCATCTATGAAAAACCCACTGCAAATATCATTCTCAATGGAGAAAAACTGAAAGCTTTTCCGCTAAGGTCAGGAACACGGAAGGGATGTCCGTTATCACCACTGCTATTCAACATAGTACTAGAAGTCCTAGCCTCAGCAATCAGACAACAAAAGGAAATTAAAGGCATCCAAATCGGCAAAGAAGAAGTCAAACTATCACTCTTCGCAGATGATATGATACTATATGTGGAAAACCCAAAAGACTCCACTCCAAAACTGCTAGAACTTGTACAGGAATTCAGTAAAGTGTCAGGATATAAAATCAATGCACAGAAATCAGTTGCATTTTTCTACACCAACAACAAGACAGAAGAAAGAGAAATTAAGGAGTCCATCCCATTTACCACTGCACCCAAAACTATAAGATACCTAGGAATAAACCTAACCAAAGAGGCTAAGAATCTATACCCAGAAAACTATAAAGTACTCATGAAAGAAATTGAGGAAGACACAAAGCAATGGAAAAATGTTCCATGCTCCTGGATTGGAAGAATAAATATTGTGAAAATGTCTATGCTACCTAAAGCAATGTACACATTTAATGCAATTCCTATCAAAGTACCATCCATTTTTTTCAAAGAAATGGAACAAATAATCCTAAAATTTATATGGAACCAGAAAAGACCTCGAATAGCCAAAGGAATATTGAAAAAGAAAGCCAAAGTTGGTGGCATCACAATTCTGGACTTCAAGCTCTATTACAAAGCTGTCATCATCAAGACAGCATGGTACTGGCACAAAAACAGACACATAGATCAATGGAACAGAATAGAGAGCCCAGAAATAGACCCTCAACTCTATGGTCAACTAATCTTCAACAAAGCAGGAAAGAATGTCCAATGGAAAAAAGACAGCCTCTTCAATAAATGGTGTTGGGAAAATTGGACAGCCACATGCAGAAAAATGAAATTGGATCATTTCCTTACACCACACACGAAAATAGACTCAAAATGGATGAAGGACCTCAATGTGAGAAAGGAATCCATCCAAATCCTTGAGGAGAACACAGGCAGCAACCTCTTCGACCTCAGCCGCAGCAACATCTTCCTAGGAACATCACCAAAGCCAAGGGAAGCAAGGGCAAAAATGAACTATTGGGATTTTATCAAGATCAAAAGCTTTTGCACAGCAAAGGAAACAGTTAACAAAACCAAAAGACAACTGACAGAATGGGAGAAGATATTTGCAAACGACATATCAGATAAAGGGCTAGTGTCCAAAATCTATAAAGAACTTAGCAAACTCAACACCAAAAGAACAAATAATGCAATCAAGAAATGGGCAGAAGACATGAAGAGACATTTCTGCAAAGAAGACATCCAGATGGCCAACAGACACATGAAAAAGTGCTCCATATCACTCGGCATCAGGGAAATACAAATCAAAACCACAATGAGATATCACCTCACACCAGTCAGAATGGCTAAAATTAACAAGTCAGGAAACAACAGATGCTGGCAAGGATGCGGAGAAAGGGGAACCCTCCTACACTGTTGGTGGGAAAGCAAGCTGGTGCAACCACTCTGGAAAACAGCATGGAGGTTCCTCAAAATGTTGAAAATAGAACTACCCTATGACCCAGCAATTGCACTGCTGGGTATTTACCCTAAAGATACAAACGTAGTGATCCGAAGGGGCACGTGCACCCGAATGTTTATAGCAGCAATGTCTGCAATAGCCAAACTATGGGAAGAACCTAGATGTCCATCAACAGATGAATGGATAAAGAAGATGTGGTATATATATACAATGGAATACTATGCAGCCATCAAAAGAAATGAAATCTTGCCATTTGTGATGACGTGGATGGAACTAGAGGGTATCATGCTTAGCGAAATAAGTCGATCGGAGAAAGACAACCATCATATGATCTCCCTGATATGAGGGAGAGGAGATGCAACATGGGGGGTTAAGGGGGTAGGAGAAGAGTAAATGAAACAAGATGGGATTGGGAGGGAGACAAACCATAAGTGACTCTTAATCTCACAAAACAAACTGAGGGTTAATGGGGGGAGGGGGGTTGGGAGAGGGAGGGTGGGGTTATGGACATTGGGGAGGTTATGTGCTATGGTGAGTGCTGTGAAGTGTGTAAACCTGGCGACTCACAGACCTGTACCCCTGGGGATAAAAATATATGTTTATAAAAAAAAAATTAAAAAAAAAAAGAAGGTTGGCAACCCTCTAATTTTGACAACCAGAATAATCACTTTTCCACTTAGAAAATATGTGCATTCAAGAACTCTGGTCAGCCTACGAGACTGACGCTGTAAGATTCTGTGTATACTACTAACTAGGATTTCTCCGTATATTCTGGGTCCTGACATTCAAACTTATGGACTATTATTCTTTCTAGGGAAAAGCATCACATTCTTGAAGACTTGCCATGCCCCTTCATCTGGGGGGAGTGATAAGGGGCAATGGGCAAGGAGAAGAGAAGCTGGTACTATCCCACTGCCCTAGGAATAGAAAAGAGAGAGGAGAGACTGGCAGAGAGAGGGTTAGGATAGAGAAAGGCAAACCATCCTTGCATTTGGAGAGAACATAGTGTTGAGTCCACAAGCAAAAACATGATCAGATCTGGACTGATGAACCAGGTAGATGCTTTTGGGTTCCATATTTTTTGGCTACTATTATAATTAATTAATTATGTTAATTATGTTATAATATATTGTATATTAATTATATTAATTATTATTACATATTTATATGTAATAAATATATTATATTTAATATATAATGTATTATATTTATTATTATGTTGATTATTATATTAATCAAGCATACTATCATAATTAATTATATTAATTAATTAATCCTCAGCAGATTAGACTGCATGGCAATGTACATCTTTCCAGGAGGAGGGGGTAGGAATTTGTAGAATTCAGGAAAATTAGACCAAAATGGCATTACCCCAAGGGATAGGCCAGCTTTTAAAGACCTGTGGGTTGCAGCACTTTCCAGTTTGGCCCAAGTGGATTCTTGGAATTCCATACCAGTTTTTTGTTTAATGGGCCTGCTGAGACTACATCAAATTGGATAAGTCTTTCCATGAAGGAAAAAAAAGAGTGCAGTTACTTTAAGATGGGGGCAGGATCTGGATAGGCACTGATGTCACACCAAGGTCTTGGGAGAATGTCCCATACAGAGGAGCTGATCGAAGAGTAGTTTGTTTCTAGGACTATGAGAAAAACACAAGTTCCATGTTGGGTCATTCAGAGAATTCCACCAGAGCAGGCCAAGGCCGGCTAGGTGTGGACTTAGCCTTTTAGAGATTGGGGGCTGGCAGAAACCAAGCGAGAAACAGACCCCAGCTAGCAGTTAGGGAGTTTAGAGATGAGGGGTTGCTTGGGGAGAGAGAGAAATCTGGGCAAAAGTGGGGTGGTGGTGGTGGGCGGGCAGGTAGCCCGGGAGTCCTATATATAAGGCATCTGGCCAGATTCCTAGTACTTGATATATGTTTAACAAGTATTAGTTCTCTCTCTGCCCAGGGTGTCCAGGAGGGAATGCCTATTTTCAAGAGCTGAGGAATAGGGCAGCAGACAAAACTCAGGGCTGAGCTACAGATGTTCTCGTCTGTTGTTCTCTGAGGGCCAGCAAGGAGCAGAGCAAGCTGTGGACATCTGGGCATATATTTACAAAAGGAGAGGTAAAAGTCAGCAGGCAGCCTTCATTTGGAAGTGGGGTGAGCAAACACATGGACTCAAAAGGACCCCTTTGCATGACTCATAAGCAACAAAAGAGGTCAGGTAAGGGCTTGAGGACAGAAGGTGAGATGTTGGCACTGTTAGCAGTGCTGAGCAAAACATGTCCTAAACTGCATTGTAGGGTTTCTCAAACTTTACTATGCATGTGATAACCTGGGGATCACATTAAACAACACATTCTATATTGGTAGTTCTGGGGTGAGGACTAATAAGCTCCTGGGAGAACCCAACACTGTTAGTCCAGGTACCAAACCGAGTGGCAAGGCTTTTTTTTTTTTTTTTTTTTTAAGATTTTATTTATTTGAGAGAGACAGAAAAAGCATGAGTGGGGTAGGGACAGAGGGAGAAGGAGAAGCAGACTCCCCACTGAGCAGGGAGCCCTATGTGGTGCTCAGTCCCAGGACCCTGAGATCATGACCTGAGCCAAAGGCAGCCGCTTAACCAATTGAACTCCCCAGGTGCCCCACGAGTGGCAAGACTTTTTATGACACTCTTTCCTTAACATGCTTCAGATGCACTAATTCCTTCAGACACTCTGAACTCAGACTCTGGTCAAGAACATAGAAAAGTCTGATTAAACAGACTGGTGGATTTCTTTCATGCAAGATTTTTCAGTTTTTAAAATGTTAACGTGATTGTGAAACGGAAGTTTCTGAAGGGGTGAAGAGGTATACTGAAAGTCTGTGTTTTGGAACTTACTAGATCATGGAAACCATTGTTTTCCTGGAGCACTTGTTAATATCCCACAGAACCCAGTGGAGGAAAAGTTTCCTTAACAGACTCTGAACTATACCCTGCACCCACTGAAGGAGTGCAGCGCCATCCCCAGGTCTCTCTAAAGAAGACAACGCTCAGGCCTGGTTGAGGTGGGCCTTTCTCCTGTCTCGATCGTCTCAAATGGTGAAAAGGGCCGTGGGGAGGTGCCTGTTGTACACGTGTGATATTTCTTTCACTTCACTTCCAGTTGAAGACACATTTTGGTAATGTGAAGGAGAAGTACCTGAGTGAATACTGCTTTTCTGGAACCTACATCCTCTCTCTCCTTGTGAGTGGCTATGGTTTCACGGCTGATTCCTGGAAGAACATTCATTTCATGGGCAAGGTAATTTGGGGACTTGTTAGGTTGTGGGGAGATTGGGTGACTGAGGCAGCTTTGGTCTTGAAAGAGGTAGAAGTCAGTGTGATGTCCTGTTCTACCATTTCACTTCTAACCCAAGCTGACATTTTGTATCAAGCCCTGCTGTGTTGACCAGCCCATTGATGGAGGAGAGCTATGGGCATTCTCAGCCTCTTCTTTCTGCTCATGCAACAGTGACTAATTCCTTATAAAACAAACAGTGAGATCTTAAATGTAACTGTGTTTCAGTAGTCTCAGTGTTTCTGTTTGCTGATTTCAACATCCATCCCAAAGGCCCCTTCCATGATCTGGAATGATATTATGGCTTCTTATAAGGACTGCAGGTCTTGTTGGTTGTCGCTTCAAGGTTGACTAATCTGAAAGCTTAGCATAAAGAAGATGAGTGATTGTCAACGGGGGTCTTTGCTTAGCAGGCTTAGCCAGAGCCTTACAGAAGCAACCTCACTGCTGTTCTTTACCATAGCGCCACCTGCAGGTATCCAGGCATAGAGAAACATTCACATTGATAGGCAATTCCTGCTTCAAAAGTATCAAGAGCCGTGCTTCCCTGCCTTTTAAACCCATACCCACTAATGGCAAAGACAATTAACTCCCTTTTTTAAATATGGTGACTTCAAGCAAAGCAAAACATTGAGGCTCCGGGGTGTAGCAGCCTAAAGGATGCTATTTTCATTACACTCATGTCGATATTGACCTTGCTAATTCAAATGCTCATCTTTCCCTTGATTTAATTCCTAGTCTTCTTTAATTTCATCACAATTTTTTTGTCCGTCTGAAGGATATGTCTGTGTCAAATTTGCGAGTGATTTGTATTCTTTAGACTTCAGTGAATGATCTAGTGTTTCTAAACCATTGGTGGTAACTCCTCTAACTCTGGAAACTTCCTTGATACATGCAGTCAGACAAGGTTCCTGCGCCCCATAAAGGGAAGTGGACCCTTCACAAATTGTTAGTTCCCAGTACTGACTGGTAAAGGTTTAGGGGAGAGGAGCATTTCCACACAGAAACTGGTCGGAACGTAAACTGGCACAACCTTTGGGGAGACTGTTGTGGCAATATGTGCTAAAAGCCTTAGAATATGCGTGTCATTTTATCCAATTACTTCATTTCTAGGATATATAATTGGATAAAGTGAGTAAAAATAAACCTAGAAGGCAGTTCATGTCAGTGATGATCCTTTGAGACATGAGATGATGTTTAGAAAGGTATTGTTAAGTGAAGAAGTCTACATATAACTTAATTCCATGTTTTGTAAGGCAAAAGACATGCACAGAGAAGCCTGGAAGCATGTGTCACAAAAAGATAATAGCAGCGACTTCTGAGTGGTGAAATATAGCTGGTTTTTATTTTCCTTTTTAGGATTATCCTTATGTCCTAATTTTTCTACCTTGACCATGTACAACTCATGTAATAAAAACATTTTCAAAATTATTTATTATTCACAGACTATCTACACTCCAGTATGTTTGGAGGTGACTGGAAAATACTCCTAGGAAGATGGCAGGGCCAGAGCATGTCTTAACATTTAGGAAGAATCCCTTCTGAACATGTGTACAGTATTCCAACTTCCATAAAGTAACACTGACTTGCTGGGATTATTTCTGTCTTCCTTCATTGAATCATAAAGATGTCCTAGTTACTTAAGGATGAGATTCCTGGGTGACGTAGATGTAAGAGACCAGGAACAATCATTGTCTTATCCTTTGCCTGCTTTCTGTCACCATCCTGCCTTCCACACCCTTCCCTCCACATTCGCTTAAGAGGAATGCAAATCTCCAAAGGTTGTTTGAAGTAAGTTCTTCTAGGCAGAGGCACTAGACAGTTATTCACCAAATTTCTCTGAATTTCAGGAATAGAGCAGTGAGACTCCAAACTCTCCTTCATCACTTGCTCAGGCTCCATTTTCCCCACAAACATATTCCCAACTTAGAATGTAAAAGTAATCCAGCTAGAGAATTGAACGTGGTGCTCTCCACTTCCTGATGCTGTGTTATGGATGGGATTGCATGAAAGCTCATTTCATCTTCAAACCAGAAACAACAGCCTATCCCCACTGTTTGCAGATCCAGAGCAGCAATGTCGGGTGGACTCTGGGCTACATGCTGAACCTGACCAACATGATCCCAGCTGAGCAGCCGTTGTCCACACCTCTGACCCACTCCACCTATGTCTTCCTCATGGCTCTCTTCTCAGTGATCCTGGTTGCAGTGATCATCATAGGCGTGTTTATCTTTCACAAGCCTTCATACTTCTGGAAAGACATGGTATAGCAGGAGCAGCTGAAACCTGCTGGCTGGAGTGAGAAAAAAACTTGCCCAAGGAGCACCTTCCTCCACAGTGGTGTACAAGGTCATCCTTCCTTGCTCACCAAGGCCAGTCTTGACCAGCACGAAGCTTCCTTGGCTTTTGCTGAAGCTTTTCCATGGAAGGTATTCACCACCTTCTGCCTCAAGGACTACCCAGAAGACATCGTCTCTTTTGTGATTCCTTCCCAACTCCACTTCTCTCTTTTGTACCCTGTGCTTGTATGGGTCTTAAAGACCTGTTACCTTTCATGATCTTTGCTTTATAAAAAAAAAAAACAACAAAAAAACAAAACCCCAATCATGACTTTGTCCTGAAGAACTCAAAAGAGTCCTGAGTCCTGGGCTGGTAAGCTGCACAGGCCAAGAGAAGATCTCAGGAACTCGTTCAGTTGTACTGATACAGACCCTTTCTTTCTCCTGTTGCCCATTTATGAAGAATGCCATACAATGCCTTTGGAGAGGGCAGACACCCATCTCATTCCCATCCTGTTGTTTGCACAGGAGAATTTCTAGACTAAACAAATATGTGCCAGGGCCAAAGAGTCTTGCAAGAGAATTTATGTGCTTATATCATTAATATGATATTCCAATCCAAAACAGGGTTGTGGATGAGTTATATATTCTTCAGTGATGCCAAAATTCTATGGAGTGGGACCCCCCAGACCAGAGATTTTTTAAAAAGCTGATGTAATATCTAAGCATTCAGCAATCAGGGCATACTACATGGTAGGTATACACGTCAGGAAGAAAAATACAATTACAATGAAGAGTTTGGAAAATACATCCTTCAATGCATCTACTGGGGTTTTATTTTTATTGTAGTAATACATATAAAGTCCACCATTTTAATATGTACAATTCAGCTGCATTTCGCACATTTGCATTGTTGTGCAACCATCACCACTAATTCCAGAATATTTTCCCCATCAAGAAATTAGCTGGAGACAAGGCCATCCCTGGGTAGGTTCAAACCACCAACCTTTCAGTTAACAGCCAAATAAGCTAATCAGTTGTTCCACAAAGATGCCCATTGAGTTTTAAAAGCCATGCCATATCTTTTTGTCCCAGGGTTTAATGTAGTGAGAGAACTACAACACTCCTTTCTTCTGTCATGGTATTTGCTCATCAAAGTATGCCAGGAACCAGATCTGAAAGTGTGGTTGCCACCCCTGTCACACAAGTATGGGCTCTATTTACTTATTCCATGGACTATTTTGTGGGAGAAGCAGCAGCTATGGACCTTGTCACAGAAACATGAAGAGACCCTGTACTTTCTTCCTTTAATGACTGCTGTGAGCAGGTGGAGTGGTGATGTGTTACTCTGAAGTTGTCCCAAGCTCCCCATCTCTGGATTTGGGGACTGACTGCTGAACTAATGCAGGGTGGGGCTGGGGTGAGGAAGGAAAAGCTTTCCTACAAACTGGAAACCAAATGTCCTTATATCTCTTGAATAACCAAGTCATTTTTTTTACAACCAGGTGAATACAAGCTTACAAACTGTGGATGCGAAGTTTTTCTTTTCTGCCACTCACAATTGAACTTGCACTTGGATTAGGAAGGAGAAGCCAAGTTTGAATATGTTTAAACTCTTTCTACTAGTGCTAGTGGTTATATTGTTAAACTTAGTATTTATTGAGCATTTGTTATGTCCCATGCTCTGCTCAAGTGCACTACATTCATTTTCTCACTTAATCCTTACAACAGTCTGAAGGAAGCTATTACCACTCCCACTTTATTGAACCAGAAACTGAGGCTCAGAGAGGTTAAGTCACTTGCCCAAGTAGCTGACCTAAAAGCCTGCAGTGCACTTAACCATTATTTTCTCTCCCAAATATACTAGACTGTCTCCTTGTAACCTCTAAACTCACACTTAACTCTGTATGAATACAGGGCTGACTGGCATGGGAGAGAGGGAAGTAGACAGATGACCTGTTCTCTGATGGACTTGTGACTTAATATTGCTTTAAGTCCACAAAGGCTGTCATGGCAACACTGATATCCTGTTCACGTACTATGCATGGTAACGTATATGGTGTATGATACTAATCAAGGATTCCCCATATACCTGGCTTCTTAATTATAGTGCTTGCTCCCTGCACAGCAATTCTGCATCAAATAAAAATGAAAATAAAAGGTCATAAAATAGAGCCAGCAACAGCTCCTTTCTTATGTCTACATATACAAAGCACTGTCACGCACATTCTCTATTTTGATTCTAAAAAACCCCATGAGGGTTATAAGTACTATTTCCATTTTATAAATAAGGGTCACACAAACTAGTAGATGGTACAGCAGATATGCAAATTCATGTCTTCTGACCCGAGTTTATTGTTTTGTCTTTTCTAAACACTGCCCATCAACAAGCTGGAATTAGAATTCACCAGTTTCCTCCAATAAACTGAAATCTTTTCTTATTCCTTTTTTTGTCTTACAGCCTGGGTCCAAGAAAAAAAAAATCCATTAAGGTATTTGGAGTCAAATTCCACTTGTTTTAAGTCTCAACTCATGGAGATCAGCTGGCACAACCTGATCTCATTTCCTTTGCAGGGAAACATGATTTTGTGGCAGGTTCAGGAATCTGCTTTGGGCAATTCTAGATGAGAAGGGCCAAATAAAATGGGTCACTGTCAATTGATTTCAATATTGAATTGGCCATTGGTTATAACATAACCATAATTTATAACCAACATAATTGGTTATAAATGATTACCACTCCTTCCTGGCCATTCACCTAAACTGGGTTCCACCATTCCTTAGAAGGTGGGAAATTTATTCTATGAACTCATAATGGGAAAACATCAGAAATGGTTACTTCTGTAAACAAAAGAATGAAGTTATGCAAGTAGGCTGTGTGTGTGTGTGTGTGTGAGAGAGAGAGAGAGAGAGAGAAATTTTCACCTTACCCAATTCTTAAATTAATAAGAAATATAAAATGCAAAGTAGACATTTTTAAAAGTATACTTCATTCTGGGGCACCTGAGTGGCTTAGTCAGTTAAGTGTCTGCCTTCGGCTCAGGTCATGATTTCAGGGTCCTGGGATCAAGCCCCATGTCAGGTTCCCTGCTCATCGGGGAGTCTGCTTCTCCCTCTCCTTCTGCCCCTGCTCATGCTCGCTTGCTCTCTCACTCGCTCACACTCTCTCAAATAAATAAAATCTTTTAAAAAAAAAGTATACTTCATTCTAATGTTGTATCAGTCAACAAGTAAAAGAAGGTGCAATCAAACCACAGAGCTAAGAAGAGTTTAAGAAAGTGACCATATCCAAGGTATTATCATTTCAACATGTAGTTCACATAAGAACTATTATTAATATTTGTTTTTCATTTTAAGTTTTGAAAGCTGTTATATATATTGCAGTTACAGCACATCTTAATCAGCACTAGCTACATTTCAAGTGATGGAGAACCATGTATAACTAGTCTACTGCATTGGATAGCACGTGTCTAAAAATACATTCAAGCCTAAAAATACATTCAAACCTAGAAAGATACAGGCAGTACAGTCTTTCTAGTGAGGGGAAACTTAAAAAAAAAAAACCAGCCATAGATACTGTAACATCTTGCTATTATTTGTTATATATGAAGTTAAAATATTCTTAGACATTGTTCTTCTTTAAGATCTCAGCTCAGAATTTCACTTTATTCCTCAGGTTTTGTTGCCTTGTTTGTGAAGGCAGAGATGACTGTTATTCAGGCCAAGACACCTGATGAAAGACTTTTGGAAAATGTAATCTGGATTCAAAGATGATACAAGATAATTTTGATGATTATATTCCATAATCAAATTGTAAATTTGAATATTAAACTAAATATTTTTTAATAGCTCACAAAGATTACCATATTATTATATTAAAATTACTATCAAAATATATTCTTATTGGGTGCCTGGGTGGCTCAGTGGGTTAAGCCGCTGCCTTCGGCTCAGGTCATGATCTCAGGGTCCTGGGATCGAGTCCCGCATCGGGCTCTCTGCTCAGCAGGGAGCCTGCTTCCCTCTCTCTCTCTCTCTCTCTGCCTGCCTCTCTGTCTACTTGTGATCTCTCTCTGTCAAATAAACAAATAAAATCTTAAAAAAAAATATATTCTTATTTATTGTCAGTTTGAAAGATGAGCTGAATTTCACCCAGATGGGTTTGATCCCTCTCTGGTTCCGATTCTAACAGTTGCTATCTTGTTAGAATAGGACAGTTGCTTATGGTTAGTTGTGCTCACTAACCATGTTTCTTTTCTGTTTGTGAGTTTTATCTTTTAAATTTATTGTAACAACCTTAGAGTGGTAATAAACGCTAAGTTTAGTGGTAATAAACTCTAAGTGGTAAGCCAAAATCAACTTTGATTTTCATGTTCATGGATCTGCGTCAGCTGGGTAGCTCTCCTTCAGGCAATAGGTTTAGTTCAGGCCTTCTGTATCTTGCATCGCTTACAAAAAATGAATGGCAGGGACACCAGAGAGGAAGAGGGAACAGGATGCCTCTTACAGCCTTGGCCGGGACAGGCTTCTGTCACTCTCATCTACATCCTACTGACCAAAATAAGTCATATGACCAAGCCCAACAATTAGCAAGTTGGAGAAACACTGGAGGAATGGCTAGGTCATATGGCGAAGGACATGGATGACTCATTTAATACAGAAGAGGAGTGAAGCACTGGGCACAATGATTGAACCTACCACAGTGTCTCATTAACTAAAACATAAAGGGTGTTTTCTATCCATTACAGTCTACTTATCTTGCCAGAGAATATTCTTTATTTAAACTGTCATTACTTCCAAGATGTCATCAGTCTGCAACTTCTTTCCAGAGCCTTAATCAGGATGCTGTAGCAGCTCGCAAACTGACTTCATATTCTAAAAAAGGCTCTCTATTCTAGATTTCCTAAGAGAACATCTGTTTATTTTCTTTATTTTATGCGTTTAGGACAATGTGTAGTTAACTACCCAAGTTTTTATTTTGTACATGAATCTAATAGAACTGAGTACATTTGGTTTTATCACAGGGAGAATGGGTTTTTTAATAATGGTAAAGGAGTATCTCCATGAACCTTCTCTAGAAAAGTGGCATTTAAGACTGTACATGTGATAGAAGCATTGCTATACCTTTTGGATTTATCTGTTTTAAAAGTCTAAATTTAAACTGGTGATACAGTGATGGCATACCCTCATCAGGACCTGGGTTAACTTTTTGTTTTTATATCCCTTTTGAATGTATAGTGAATAGCAAAGCTCACCAGAGAACATGGATCAGTCAATGACAAAAGAGATACGGTCACCTAAGAAACCGCACCACTCCTTATAATGAAGTTCTAAGAAGAAAGGGGAGGCAACCCTGGGAGCTAGGTGGGGAACAGTGTGTATTTAGAATGACCTAAACCAAACTCTATTTTTCCTCCTAAACCTGCCCCGCCTCCTGAATTGTATCATAATTAATGCCTCAGTGCCACCACTGTGTCAAGTAACTAGGACTTCATCAACATCACCTGCCCATTTTGCCTTTGCAACAGTTTTCATTTTGATTCCTCTTTCTAATCTTATTGTTATCTGCCCAGTGAAGATCTGACACCAGGAATGGCAGCTGTGTCTCCAATCTATTAATGCCAAAATAAGCTTTATAAAAAACAGTCTTTGGGGCATCTGGGTAGCTCCCAGTCTCTGAAAAGTCCAACTCTTGATTTTGGCTCAGGTCATGATCTCAGGGTGTGAGATGGAGCCCCACATCAGGCTCCATGCTCAATGCAGAATCTGCTTGTCTCTCTCCCTCTGCTCTCTCTTTTCCCCTCTCTCTCTCGAATAAATCTTAAAAAAAAAAAAAAAAAAAAAAAAAAAAAGCTTTACCACATTGCTCCCTAACTAAAATTGCCAGTAGCTTTCCATTGCCTACAAAATAAGGTCAAACTCTCCAACAGACATTAAAGCTTTTTGAACCATGCCTGTGAGCTCTCTCTGGGCTTACATCCCACTCCACCCCTCTGATGTTACCTACAATCCAGACAGGGTAGACTGCTTCTTCACCCAACTCTGTTCAGGTTATTTGCTCAACTTGAGCACCTTTGCCCAACTCTACCTTCAAAGCTCAGCTGGAATGCCTGCAGTGAAGCCTTCAGGCAGTAGGTTTAGTTCAGGCCTGCTCCTGTATCTTGCATCTCTTACAAAAAATGAATGGCAGGGACACCAGAGAGGAAGAGGGAACAAGATGCCTCTTATAGCCTTGGCCAGGACAGGCCAAGTTCACATCTCCAAGTCAGAATAAACTGCTGCTTCCCTGTGCTACAGCAGCCCTTGGCCTAGGCCTGCATTAGACCTCAGACCTTTCTATTCAGCATCCAGCTTAAGCTCCTCAGAGAAAGTTAAGTGACTTCCTTCTTTCTGAAAAGTTGGCCTCAGGGGTATTTTAGCAGGAACGGAGGTAACAGTCCTAGTTAACCTCCCTTTCCACTGCAGGAAAGCTGGTCCATACCACTACTTATGGTTCAGTATTCTTATTTCATTATCTCTTAACATGACCTGT